CATAGTCTCTCCCATCTTAGCCACTGATGCCTGTAACTCCTTCAGAGAAGTCATAGCTGTCTTATAAAGTATGTGACTACATTGACTGTGAGTCAATGTTCAGGACCAATAAAAGGGGGAAACTTCCAAGGAGGGTGAATGCCTTGAATAGGAACTGTACATGGATTGATAAATACAGATTTTTTACGTGGTCTAACTTTGCATTTGATGAGCAAGATGATAAGTTAAGATTACAACAACACAGAACGTGAAGCTCCGATTGCTTAGTTTGCAAAACACAACCCTAATCCCTCAAAACAAACCCAGCACAGATCAAACACTCAAAATTAGACATGACATCTGAGCATTTGTCTTTTAATCTGGTGTAAATTCCATATAATTTATTAGTTTATGAGTTAGTGATGTCAGACAGAGCAACAGAAAAATAAATGATCCAGAGTTTAGCTAAAAGGGAAATGGTTGTTTCCGGTTAAATGTTCTTCATACTCCACCACCACCATGACCTGTATGTACAGTGAGAGGATGAAGGTGCTAAAGTGCATTCTGGTCCCTCTTAATTGATTCTCCAGGGTTGTGTTTCAGTCATACTTGCAGACTCTGAATGTTGTGTTGTGTTTCAGGAACTTCCACGTCTGGACGGAGGGGTTGATGAAGCGGCCTGACCTGGGAGAAAACGGCGACCACGATGGTTGGCAAGTTCTGGATCCGACGCCACAGGAGAGGAGTAACGGTACAGACTTTAAAACCTATATTATGCACATTTACAGGTTTATAATTTCATTTTTGGGCCCTACTTGATCATGTGCTTGTCATGCTTTCATTTTCAAAAATAGCTATGCAGGTAATGGTTTTATAAATTACAGAATTCAACCCAACTAATATAAATAGTAAGGCAAAGAGCCTCGAGTGTTTCAATTATGGAGAACAACCAATGTTGAACTAAAGCTTTTGACAATACGGAAATATACATAGAAACTGAAACAAATTGGATCCCCTATGAGCAGTCAGACATACGGTCCTATAAAAACTAATTAAAATTAAGTTTCCTCTTTTATTGCTTCTCAATATTGAATCGTGATCAATTTAATTCGGCTTTTTTATGTTTTTTTGGACAAGAATTGACAAAAAAGACTGTTATATGCCAAAAAGAAAAGAGATGTCTACAAAGTATTTTCTCAATTAATTAAAACTCTAAAAAGTAAAACACTTGATTGTACAAGTATTCGGCCCCCTGAAAGTGACTTACCTAATCACACACGCTCAGATCATCTGAGTGCGATGAAAGTGTCTAAAGTGACTGTAGTATGAAGACACCATAGACTGTAT